TTTTACGAAAGCAAATTAAACCCAATTTGATACAATATTGCTAAATTTTATTCTCTGATTAACTGATGGAGTCATATGATCATAGTTTCCAGACTGAATTAGTTATTTAATTATGCTGATATTAGTTTTTTAATGTTCAATAAATATACTACTTAAGACTTTGCACCTTTATGATATTTCTTATTTAAAATTTTTGCACTGAAATTACACTGTTGCTTTGTAATGTAGTAATCTTTATTTTTTATTACTACTTTTTACTCATATTGGTTTGATATTCATGACATTATTGCCTATTTATTCATTAATAAAGGTTTTGATTTAAAACACAGTAGTTCTTATTTTTTCTGAAACACGGTTATTTTATTATTTCAAGATTTAATGCACAAATAGGAGTGCCAGAAAGTGAAATTTAAAAATAAATAAATAAAATAAAAAAAAGGAGTAATCTGTATACTCAGTACACAAAGGAAAAGCATATATTTTTTTAATTTTCCTACAAACTAAATTTAGCAAAAATTCAAAATCATGCAGCATCTTCCGTAAATATTTTCCGAATTGTACCGTGTCTTCATACGCAACTCTCGGAGCTGGGTATTACGAAGGCACTATGGATTTCTCGTCGTTTGAACCAATTTCTGGTCCAAACGCATTTTTTCTCCCTCCTGTAGCAATAGCTAAGTTCAAAATTGTAGCTGTATCTATAGTAGCAATTTAAAATAGTCATCCATTATTTTGACTATTTGATAACACTGTACGCTTTGTTTACAAATCGTAGACAGTGTGACGCTATAGAGGGCGGGAACAGTTATTTTCACAGTGATTGGCTGAGTGAATTCCTGTACTAGCGAGAAAATCGTTCCGTGTAGACAGGCGAGCTATCTCAAATATAGTCGGCCAGCTAAGGTGGCCGAGAAAATCGCTACGTGTAGACGGGCCTTAAGATTTATATTAATGAGTGTATATACAAATGTTTTTCATTGCACATAATCATGAATCCATAAATTTCAAATGTTTCAATATGTAGTATTTACACTAAAAGTACAGTTTCTAATGTATTTATAATCTAAAATGTATTTTATTTATAACATAAAAATAAAAGCATGCAAATTTAACGAGCATTCTCATTATTACATAAGCCATGCTTTTATGCAACTTTTATGTTGTTTACAGCATGTCGCTGATTATGCAATACACAATTTAAATGATAAGTAATTGGTAAAAAAGTGAAGTGCATATATAAACAGAATTAAAAAAATTAACCACCTTAAATTAAGTAAAAACAAACTCTATTAATATATAACAATGATGACATTTTTACAGAGCATGCTATGGGTCAATAAGAAATATGATTTTGGTGATGAAAAATTTGTAAACAAATCATCAAAAGTACAAGAATGTACTAAAATACTGTCTACTCCGAAATTTCCACAATTATAAGTTTAATCAGTATATAAACATTTTAAAAATAACTTAGATGGTTATATTATTATAAAAACACGGCATACAAATATAGTTTTTTTGATAGGGGTTATTCCTTCAATAAAATCGGCTTCCATTTCTATCATCCACGACGTCAAACTACAGCCATCACTACATTGGAAATTACCTATGGTCCTTCAAAGGCAGAATTTTTGTCTGATTGGCTGATCTCTATGCAGGACACAGCTGCAAACGAAGCATTTTTGACCAAGTTTCAAAATGTCCCAAGTAGCCGGGACACTGTTTCTTCGGCCAGACAGAACATCGCCTCCACTCGTGCTGCTTTTTGTTGGAACCCTCCCATTCAAACCAATGCAACCATAATCTCGTTTCTGACAAATCCCATCTAGTCGTGCACACCATTAGATGTGATACGGATTTTAGTCATTCTGAGCCAGGTTAGATTTAAAATTTAATTGTATAGCATCTGACTACTATTCTACGTTTTAAATTGGAATTTTACTGTTACTTTGGTTGCATCACTACGAGTTATGGTTGACGTTTTCAAAGTTTATGTTTAAATAAAAAGGTTTATTTTAAACCTTTCTGAAGTCTTGGTAATTAACTTCAGACATATCAATAATTTGCTTCACATCTGTTAGGATTTTACCTTCTGCCAGATAAAGGAAAACCCTATATATATATTAAAAATGGCACTTTGAATTTCACACACACACACATATATATATGTATATATATATATATATAATTTTAAATTTAATCTAGATCAGTGTTTCTTAACCTGTGGTTCATGGACCTCTTGGGGGTCCGCTGACTGCTCCTAATTTTTAAAATGTTTGCATCAATATTTAAAAAAAAAACCTTTTTTGTCACGGGCAACCTCTGTAAACCGTCTGTCTGCCATTTCCAAATAATAGAGACCTCCACAATACGAGGAAAAGAACATTCACAAGCCATATAAAATTTGAAATTTTTAGAAACACAGAGTAGCCTTTGAATTTTACTTCACTTGGAAATAGTGACGTTAAAATCAGTTCTGCAAAGTTCTTGCAAATTTTTAAAACAAAATATTTGTTTTACTTTTTCATAAGTTGTAATTAAAGTTTTTTTTTTTTTTTTTCCAAGTGTTTTCTTGTGTCTTAATGTTTGTTCTTAATTTGATTATTTGATATTTTTTGTAGCCCAAAATGTCCAAAAAAAGGAAGTATGATGAAAATTATGTAAAATATGGATTCTGCTGCATGAAGGAATCGGACGGTGTTGAAAAGCCACAATGCTTTCTGTGTGGAAAAGTTTTGGCAAACGCCAGTATGAAACCGGCAAAATTGATAGAGCATCTCAAATCTCTTCATCCTGAAAATACATCTAAAGATCTAGAATTTTTTACAAAAAAGAAAGCCCAGTTTTCAAAATCTGAAACATTAACCAAACTTGGATTTGATATTTCACAAAAACCTTTGGTTGAGGCATCTTTCAGAGTTGCATATTCGTATTAGCCAAAAGTAAGAAACTGCATATTATTGGAGAGACATTAATTAAGCCATGTGCGCTGGAAATGGTTGAATTAGAGTTTGTGGACTGGAACAGAGAAAAAAACTTGAGGACTATTCCATTGTCCAAGGATGTGATACATTCAAGAATAGTTGAAATTTCTTGCAATATCTTGAAACAGATCATCGATGAATTGAAAGCATCGCCATTTCCCTTTAGTATGCAACTGGATGAAACTACAGACAGACATCTCGAATTGTAGTCAAACTTCTTGTTTTTGTTCGTTACGTGTCTGCTGATACTATCAAAGAAGAATTCTTATTTTGTGAGCCTCTTTTGCAAACTACAAAGGCAGTTGATGTTTTAGCGATTTTAAATGTTTTCTTTTCCAAACACGACTTCGACTGGAAACAAAAACTTCATTCACTTTGTACGGATGGAGCACCTGCGATGCTTGGCAATAAATCTGGTTTTGCCCATTTGGTAAAAAAAGAGGACATGCACTGGCTACAAAAACTCTTCCAACCAGCTTAAAAGAAGTATTGTCAATAGTTATTAAAACTGTCAATTTTATTAGAAGTAGAGCTCTTAATCACAGTCTTTTTAAAACACTGTCTCAAGAAATGAACACAGAACATGATGTACTTCTGTACCATATAGAAGTGCGCTGGCTGTCACGAGGGCAGGTTTTGAAACTAATTTTCATGTTGAAGACAGAAGTATCACTTATTTAGAAGAAAAAGATAACTCACTCTTTGAATATTTCAAGAAAAAAGATTTTATATGTAAATTGGCTTACCTGGCAGAAATTTTTAACCACATGAACGATATATGTCTTTCAATTCACGGGCCTGATACAACAATTATGGATGCCACTGAGAAACTACAGGCATTTTTATTGAAAATGTCACTTTGGAAAATTAGAATTCAAAATGGGATATATGCAAACTTTCAAATGTTGGAACGAAGTGCTTTTTTTTAAAATGGATCTCGGAAAGATAGTTTGTTATTGAATAACTTGAAAAATGAAATCTGTGAACACCTGGAAGTACTTCAAGTTCCATTTGAAAAATATTTCAATTCGGATGGAATAAATATAAAAGATGAGTTGTGGATTCGTAATTCTTTTCTTTGTGATATTGACTATATTGATGACATGAACCTTGCCAAAGATGAGCTAATTGATTTGAAAACAAAGTTCTCGTTAAAAATAGATTTCGATTCAAAAACTATTTGAGAGTTTTGGTCTTCTTTAAGAGAAGCCTACCCATTGCTTGTAAAACGAGCTATGGCAGCCATTATTCCATTTGCTACAGTATATCTTTGCGAAGCGGGATTTTCCACACTTGTCACAATAAAAACAAAACATCGAAATAGACTGAATGTCGAACATGATATGCACGTTGCTTTGTCGAAAACCATCCCTCAACTCAATCTGTTAATCAAGGAAAAGCAGCAACAGCCTTCAGATTAAAAATTTTAATTTCTTCAAATTTTTTATACTATTGAAATAAAAATGTTAAAATAATTAAATAATAAAACAGAATATATTTTGTAATAAATGATGCTTAAGCAATATTTTTCACAGAAGGGTCCCGATATATTTAAAATTTTTAAAGTGGTTCATTGTGCCAAAAAGGTTAAAAAACACTGATCTAGATGTTATTCTATCTGCAAAACTATCCATAAAAAATATTTTCACATAAAATATTAACTAACATTATCTTGAAATAATCTGCATTTATTATTCTATAATATTGACTAAAATATATTTTGAAACCCCACACAGCATCAGTATATACCTTAAAATGGCATTTATTTGTATAGAATTTGCCCAGTAACTACTGAAATCTAATGCAAATAAAAATAATTATCATTTCTTAAGAGTACAATATAATGAGATCTAGACAATATAATACCTACAATATATCCGGACTCTTATATGGCATGAAAATTTGAATAGAAAGTTAAAAGAAACTTATATTTTAACACTATGCATACCAGAAATTAAAGAAAAATAACTTACAATGAAATGAAACATAATTAACATGAACTGAATTAAAACTTACCAATTACATGATGAAATAATGACTTTATAAGTTATCAGCTTATTTAAATTTTGATTTACCTGATCAAAAGGAAAAGAAAAATTTTAATATCTTGAAGCAAAAATTAAAACAAACTGCAATTTTTAAAACAGATCTAAATAAAAGTTTCATTAGCAACATAATTAGCACATTTTAATAAGAAAATAGAATTTTATGAACCCAAACTGAGAGGTAACTAGAAAATTTTGGCCATAAATCCATATATCACTATATATGGATTTAGATAGATATACATGGATTTAGAGATGGATATAGATTAAATATATCTATAGTTTTAAATACTCTCCAAAATTTAACAAATAAATATATGTTCTTGAATTGAGAATATAATTTTTAACTTTCAGAAACTTAAAAATATACACAAAAGCACATTTCTCAAGAATTGCATTAAGGCAAATTTTAACTACCTTTACAAATGCATAACATTTTGTAAGATTTCATTAACAAATAAATATCACAAATTCAAGCAGCAGAATTATCCCAATAAATATAGGCAATCAATCTTTAAACGAATACAAAATTTATTCCATATAAATGGAAGAAAGTTATTCTCTAATATATTACTAGGACCATATCATCTACAAAACCATTATGACTTCAATGCTTTTACACATAGAACACATATCTGATTTGAGAACAAAATTAACTGTGACTTCTAATTCTTTTTGTTACGAAATGTCCAGCTGCAGTAAGATAGCTTCTCTGCAAAGATTAGGGTTGCCAGATCTGGCACAAAATTGCCCATTTGGAGAAATGCCATAGCCGGATCGAGTATCTTTTAGAATGCATTGTTAGCTATATATACCCTACCTGTACACGGAGAAAGAGTAGTATCTAGCAGCATGTTGAGCTCGGTAGTAGTGTTTGGGAATTCAGAAATTAGCTTGAGAGTGATGGAATCTAATCGGGTGCTGTCCTTCAGTGCTTTCCTGTAAAGCTGTCTTCGTCATTGTAGCCTGAAGGCTAATTGTTCAGCATGTTTATCATAGTTTTTTGACAACAGTAAACTCTCCTGTGTAATATTGGTGAACAAACTGTGTTTTTATTTTTCATTAAGTGTTATTGTCAATTACTCCAAATCCATGAACCCATAGAATGCAACATTTTCAAAGTATCTCAGAAAAAATGCATCTGTCGCTTTTAATATAGGATAAAACATCAGGGAAAAAAGCCTAGAAAATGCAAATGAATAAAAGCACGAAAAAAGTGCAAATTCATGGAGTACGTATATGGGGCCAATAATGTAATTTCCTAGTCATATTTTAAAATTTTAAAGACTATGCCACTGTATTATTAAAAATCAAAATTTATTTTAAGGCCAATCTGAAGTCGGCTTCAAATTATCAGTCAGTCAAATATGAGCAAGAATAAATTATTTTATTATAGTAAAGACCATTACCTGCCAGTGGAAAAGAACGTATTTATGGAATACTTTCTAAGCAAAAACTGACCTACCTTTCTGTTATACATAAAATCAAATATGAATTTAAAATGTAAAACAATTGAATGCCTGCATGTGAAAAGAACGATACTTAAATTTTTAATGAATCTGAAATTAGATACCAAGTGCTATAAAAATGAAAATATTAGATTATTTTTAAAAATATTATTCAGCAAATTTAAGAACAAAATATTTGCAAATCACATCCTTTACTATAGCGATAAAAGAGAAGATAAAAAAAAAAATCATTTACTTGATATTGGAAAGATGAATATTTAATTATTTAATTACGACTCAGAATTTATTCAGAAACAAGAATTATACTTACACAGGATATTAATTCTCCAAATTCTTTTAATTCCGTTCTTGTACTCAACTAAATCAAATACAAGAATAATGATAGAAAAGAACTTGATTAACACATAAAAAATTATAAATTCATCATCTGTCTGCAGAAAAAGATTTAACTTACCCATGTTTTGATACAAGAAAGAAAACGTTCCATGAAACTCACATCAGGAAGGCAGCTTGATGAAAGTGATTTAATGAAATTCAGATCCTTTAAGAGAATAATTAATAGAAAATAAAATTAACAAATTAATTAATCAAAGGGCTCAATAAAGTGAAAAATTAAATTAAATTTAAAAAAGCTTTTATAAAATAAGTTTTGATCTAAAACTTGTAAAATAATTAATGAACTAAAAAGATAAATATAACTTACCATATAGTTTAATGGAAATAAGAGATTAAAGAATCCTCTTCAAAATTTTGTGAAAAGTATCTACGATTTTGTATCAAAAATGATAAAAAAGTGAAGAGCCCTTGATAAATTTATAAAAATAATGACAAATTTATAAAAATAATGACTTCAATAATGACTGATACTGCATTCAAATATTAGATTTTATTATTTAGGTGCCCGTGCTTATATTATTCATAATATTTGTAAAGACAATTATTTAATCTTTTGCCCTTATTAAACTGTATGATCAATTATTTTTCTCCTTTTAATTCATTAAATAATTTATGAGTTTTAAATAAAAGCTTATTTTATAAATTTGTTTTCCCTCCCCATCCCTTTAATCTGAATGTCACGTTATCAATAAAATTATTCAGGTGAAAAATTCTTTTTCAACATTGAAAAAAAACTCTTTGATATCCAACAACTGTGTTGTAAGAAAAAAAAAAAAAAAAAAGAAAGTCAAGTGATTTTTTGCAACTTTATCAAAGATCAGAAATTACATAAAAACTTTCATACATTAAATCTTCTGTTAAAAGATTTTTTTCCACTCAGTCTGATGGTGCAAACAATACAATTTTAAGAGTTTTAGTTTGTTCGGTAAACAAATAAATGTGAGAAAAATCATTTCAACATTAAATTTAAAAACTCTAAATAGAATTTTGAATACATTTCAAGACACGGAATGTAGATGTGGATGTAGCTGTCAAAAACACGAACAGCAGTAGGAGTCTTTTAGAGCGTGAGATTTCAATCCACGTCCAGGCCATACCTATCATGTAACAACACGTCAAATCACAGTGAAGTGCCTGCTGATGGGTATAATGGCAAATGGACTCAATACACATGATGCAGTTAACATCTGTCTACATTCGTTCATCTATCCTCTAAGTCTAGTGAAAGACTAGTTAAAACCACACATTATTTAATTACATTCAGTGTTCCCCGTGTTGTGCAAATTCTACTATGTAAATATCACTGTTAGCTTCCCAGTAATTAAGATAATGAAAAATTTATGAGCTTTTTGTAGAAACTATTATTACTGATGCAGTGAACTGCATCACTAGAGCTTGTAACAAAGTTAAAAACTTGACACTAATTCTTATCTAAAGACACTGATATCAAATACTGTAAAATTCTCCTATATTGTCTACCAAAAACAAAAAAATACCATTTGTTCTTACATAATAATTTCTGATAACTATTGATTTTAAAATATAAGTGAAGCAATTATCATTCGAGGCATTTTGAATGTAATGATTTATCAGCAACTAACAGAAAATCACAGCTGCCACTTATATAAAAGCAAAATTCAGAATAAAGAATTATCAAAATTATATGACTGCAGAAAATAACCTTACTTATTATTAAAAACGATTGTTAAGTTAGGCAAATAAATTTTATTTTAATGCATTTATAGTAACTTTACTCGTTTTCATAATATTTATCACTTTGATTAAATTTGAAAAACAAAATATTCTGAATACACTCAGAAATAGCCAAAAATGAAGAATAAAATCCTTTCAAAACATGAAAGTAGAAAATAAAGACATTTTATGCATGCAATCTTTTCATGAAAAATTTTTGCATGAAAAATTTTTATGCATGCAAATTTTTTATGCATGCAATTTTTTCCTCCAAATAATGTAATTTTAACATGTTAATATTAATCTAATATTATCACAATGTTACATATGCTAAAAAAATTCATGAATAAACAGATTAAAGCTTTCAGATATAAATAAAAAATTCTTAAAATTACTAAAATGGTGATTAAGCAACAAATTTAAATACTACCAGAAACATGCAGGTTAAAATGAAAATTTGGCAATGTACAAAAATATTAGCAAGGATTTTACATCTTTATGATAGATATTATATATTACACGAAAAAAAAAACTGTTTTTGAGTATTGAATCATACACTAGAATAGTTTTCATAAAAATTATGAAACTTTTCGAGACCAGTAGTTTGGATCAGCATTCAGAAGAAAGTGAGAAGAGAGAAGAGCATTGTAAAGCTACCATAACATGCAAACAAGCTATCAAATCGTAAATTTGGTCATAATCTCAGTCATACATATTTCTAAGAGAACGAACTGAGTTTGAGATCAAGATCCATAACTTTTTGCATCATTCAGTATATGGCTCGAAAGAAAGTCAACTTGATTGAGGGCGAAAACTACACACATACACAGATGTTTGTGGAAAATGCAACACCATGAAGGAATTGTCAGAAATGAATGAAATGTATTCTACATATTTTTGCTGATAGTGATACAAATAAATGATCAAATTTACAAGAGAAAAAAATCAGAAATCAGTGTTTGTGCATCTGCCCCACTGAGCGATAAAAGCCTGTACAAGTTGTGGCATCGAATCATACAGGTACTAAATGTTATCTCGGAGAATGACATTCCATATGGCTTCGACTTGTTGCTGACCGAAGAAATCCCACACATGCTCAATGGGTAACATATCCGGGGAAATAAGCAGGCCAAGGAAGAGGCGAAACCTGTTGTGTCCTAAAGAGGGGCATGTACAGTCTCAGAAACAGTACATAAGCGTTATCCTACTGAAATACAGCATTCAGGCTCCCCAACTGCTCTTATGTAGCGATCACTGTTGAGGTCACCTGCAGTCTGCACTAGATGGGATCAACAATTATACCCAATAGTTCCCAGGCCATGATGCCAAGCATTTGTGCGACGTGATGCTGGATAACACACTATGGGAGCAGACATTCCCCTCTGTAACGTCTGATGCATACTCTTCCATCACTGTACTCCTAATTCTAACAAGATTCATCAGAGAAAACAACTTGTGCCACAGAACATGCCATGCACTGTGATTCCACTGGCACCATGCACACCATACCATGTGTTACAACTCGAAAGCAAAATGAACGAAAATTTCGCTTCTGCCAGTGGCAACGGGGAGTGGAAAAATAAACTTTGAAGTTTAAAGTGCATTCACTTTATATTTTTTAGGAAGTGGGCAGGATTGTAAACATGATCAGTATCTCTATGCAATCAGAGCAACTAAAAAAGAATATTTTATAAAAAAATTAATTTACTTACTTTTCTCAAAGTTCAACGAAGATGATTTTGATTCATTTTAACTGGTATGTACCTAACTATTTATTTATATTTTTGAAAATATTTGCTAAACCTCCCTCGAGGATGCTCTCCATCAAAATTGGAGGCAGAACTGAGCAAATTCATACTGTCACCAGTATAGTGCTAAAGGCTCTTGCCAATGACAGATGCAATCTTGCACTCTTTGCCACAATGAATTTTGTGGGCTTGTTCTGACGTTACTGTGAAACAAGTAAGATAAGTCACAATGCAACACTACTAGTATTAAATGCGCAAATTTTTACAATTACTGTGACAACAAAATGAATATGTACCTACTTACACAAGTTTATGAAATATATTTAATTAATAATATATACAGTGATTGCTGCTTATTACATTCACTGGTTAATAAACCAGCTGCTTATTACTTTGAAATTTCCAGAAATCAAAACGAATACATACTAAACAACAAAAACTCTGCCGTTTAATTAAACTCATCTCTGTCGCTTACAAAACGCAGACTGGAAAAATTCTGTACAGGGATTTGGAACAAGTAGGATATTCTGAGACTAATTTTTCAGTCCCAGAATATCCTATTTGTACCTATTAAAGCTTTTTATAATTCATCAATTTAATATATTGTGGACCATGGCTTCATTGCTCAGGTATGCAATGTTTCAATAAAATGGGTTTCGCTGAAACTTTCATATAAAGTCCTATTCTTCAGAGTTGGGTGAAGATTTTTAGATGCCCTAAGCACATACAAGATTTTGATTACATTATGCAACAATTTACCCAGTCCTTACCTCTCAGTATTAGTTTAACTGAACCATTTATTTCATAGTAAAATGGCAATGGAGAATTTTTGTGGTGGCCCCTTCTGTGAGTCCCTAAGCATCTTTTCATGGTGCCAGTTTTATATATATATGTGTGTGTGTGTGCCCTAAGTGCATTCTTATTTTGCTTAATGGTTAATTTAGCAATGCCCGGACCCTGTACATATGAGACATTTTTTTCGGAGTTATTTTTCCGCAATGAACTTTAAATGGGAAAAAAGAATTTCCTTATCAAAAGGTTCACAAAAATAATCCTCTAAAAGAAAGTAATTGAGTGTAGGTTCCTTCTTGAATACCAGCTGCCAGAGGTGGAAATGCAACTTCTGTATCCTATCTTTTAAGATTTCCACACTAAAACTTTTCCCTTTGGGATAGATATATTACGTTCGAGCAGAGTTCTTAAAGTTTTAATGAAATGCTTCCTAGCATTACTATACATTAACAATAATTGAATGAAAAGGAAGTGATAACTATATGATGAAAAAAAAAAGCAAGAAAGCATCGGTCATGCTTGTAAACACGCAGTGGCATATTCTCTATATAGAGTGAAAGTGTATTGTTTTTATATGTTAGATATGTGCTCAGTGATGATTGCAAGATGTACACAAACATCATTTATTCTACATTGCTAATCTACTATACTAAATTACAGTTATGGTTAATGATAATAATAGATACAGTTACAATTACATATATAACATCTCCTTTCTTTATCAAAAATAATAATAATAGTAAAATTAAACATATTCTTTTAAATAATAAGGTTTCTTAACAGTCCTTCCAGATCGAGTAACATAGTTATGTCCACTTGAAAAATTTGATGATATTATACCTCTCAGTGTTTGGTGACACAACACCTCTGTTAGGTTTTGAAGGACTTACAGGCACATCTAAATCTGAAGTGC